CTCTACGCCGACCACCCCCATCAAACACTTCCAGGACAGGGACAGCATGGGGTTAGATACAGAGTAAACCTCTCCCTACACTGTCCCCCCAACAAATGCTCCTAGGGCATGGGGTTAGATACAGAGTAAAGCTCCCTCGACACGTCTCCCCCCTATCAAACACTCCCAGGACAGGGACAGCACGGGGTTAGATACAGAGTAAAGCTCCCTCTACACTGTCCCCCCCATCAAACACTCCCAGGACAGGGACAGCACGGGGTTAGACAATACTGCAGTAGGTGTTATTCAGTCAGATTTACTGGGACCCCTGTGAGACAGCAAACATACAGCCTTCCCCAACACCTACAGCAGCAGAGACTGGATTTGAGCTGATGTTCCCAATGAGGGGCCTCCTGTGACGCTCCAGTGCACCAGAGAGAGGTTTCACATAATCCTTGCATCTTTAGACAGTCACCTCTTGGGCAATTGTCATGTATCGCAGTCTGGGTTGGCACACACTGACTGTGACTCCATGTCTAATACTGGGGGTTAGTTCTGAGTGACCCGGGCTGGAGCAGTGGGAATGAGCTGGCCTGGAGGTCGGGGAGGGGGGAGGGGGAGTAAGCTTGTTACCTGTGTAGTGTTGCATTCCTGTGTAAGCCTGTTGTAGGGGGTCAATGCTGGTCGCTGCAGCTGCCTGGCTCGGTGCTACAGAAATGCAAACAACACATCCCTTTAAGTCACTTACTCGTTGGGATTCGTTCAACAGAAACTCCTCAGTACCCTCCCCACTGCTCCCTCCCTCACTGCTCCCTCCCTCCCTGCTCAGCCCCCTCCCTCCCCGCTCAGCCCCCTCCCTCCCTCCCCGCTCAGCGCCCTCCCTCCCCTCCCTCCCCGCTCAGCACCTCCCCTCCCCGCTCAGCACCTCCCCTCCCTCCCCGCTCAGCGCCACCCCTCCCTCCCTGCTCAGCACCCAGCTATATGTTGCCACGGTGAATACTGAACCAGGTACCTGTGTATGAATGAACTCCATTTGTGTAGATAGTTTCAGATGTGGTCTGCCCGTTTGTCTGTGCTGTGATCTGATTATACCCATTCACAGTGAGGGGTGGCGGAGCAATGGCTGGTACAGGGGCACTTGGGATAACTGGAGGTGTACTGGTACCTTTAGGGCAGAAAGACAAAATGAGATGAAGTTCTGCACAACTGTCTCATTTAACTGTTGCTGTCTCCTGGGCCTGGAGACCTGCACCAGGTCCTTTGCAACATTACAGTTTCAGATTCACCCCCACACCACTCAGTAAATATTGACAGGTGCCTGTTTACAGAGAGAATAACATAGACACAGACACACAAATATACATATGCATACACACACTCTCTCTCACACACACATATATACACACACGCGCGCACACACACACACACACACGAGACAGAAAGAAAGAGGCAGACAAACAGAAAAACAGCGAGAGGGACAGACACAACCAGATACAAAGAGAGATACATAGAAACAGAGAAATAGGAAGAGAGAGGTAGAGAGAGACAGACAGAGACACCCGTGCAGAAAGACACAGAGAGAAAGACTGATGGCGAAATAGAGAAATAGGGACAGACAGAGAAACAAACTGAGTGGTTACAGACAGGCAGGCAAAGAGAGATAGCAAAATGGAGAGAGTAGAGATATGGTGACAGACAAAGGGAAAGAGAGATTGGAGAAGTTAGGCAGAGAGACAGAGACACAGAGGGGCAGAAAGAGAGAGACAGAGGGAGAGAGAGATAGAGAGAGCGACAGAGACAGAGAGAGAAAGAGCCAGGGAGAGAGAGATAGAGAGATAGATCAACAGCGAAAGGAAAAGAGACAGGAAGGAAGGGAGAGGGGGAGAGAGAGAGAGAAAGAAACAGAGACATATGGGTCATGGGCACAGTGTTCTGACTGACCTGATACACCGAGACACCCCTTTACACCAGTGCCCCTCCCGCAGCAAGATCCACAGACCTTTAACCCCAGTGCCCCTCCCGCAGCAAGATACACAGACCTTTAACCCCAGTGCCCCTCCCGCAGCAAGATACACTGACCTTTAACCCCAGTGCCCCTCACCCAGCAGGGTATACAGGCATCCCCCCAGCCCCAGGGTACAGGGGAACACTCTCCACCCCCCCACAGGTTTCTCCCCACCCTGTGCCCATTGTTTCGAGCTGGACCCACCTGATGTGGAAGTGAGTGGGCTTGCAAGCAGACTGTTGGGGTTGATGGTCGGGACCTGCTGCATTTGTATAGCCGCGGCCATGGGGTTCAGGTAAGTGCTCTGTGCCGCAGCCATCAGAGCGGCTTGTTGGTGCATCAGCTGCTGGGGAGATGCAGGAGAAACAGGGAGTTAGAGAAATGCAGCCCCCGGACCACGGCCTGGGGGTAGGGGGATATGGGAGGGTGCAGGGGGAGAGGGTCAAGAGAGGGGGAGAGGGGCAAGAGAGGGAGAGAGCGGTGGAAAGAGAGAGTTGGGGAGAGAGAGGCAGAGGCAAGGGGAGAGAGCGGGAGAGACAGGGTAGGGGAGAAGGCCGGCAGGGAGGATGGTGTGTGGAAAGTGGGAGCCCAGGGAAAGGGAGGGGGAGAGAGAGAAGGGGAGACAATGGGAGAGGGGGAGAGAGGGGCCTGGGCAGTCTAGAGACTGACAGCAGTGCCGAGAGTGAAATGAGCTCAGTTGATGGATGCAGATCCATCTGATTCCAGGTAAGAGCCTCACGGCGAGGTGTGCAGATACATTTAGACACTGAGGGTCCAGAACAGGCTGTTGGACAGCACGGGACAGCAACTTCAGCAGGGAGCTTGGATCATTTACACAGGAGGGGACACACACACACACACGACCATGGGGGATTGCGTGGGGAAGGGGTTGGATTTAGCGTGTCAGTCTTGCAGAGAGCCAGCACGCTCGCACCAGGCCGAAGGGTCTTCCCCTGGCCATACGCCGTCCATGGTTCGCTGGGTCTCAGGTTAAATCGGGCAGTGGGTGGAGAAGAAACAGATTGCTGCCAATAATTCAGGGCACTCTCCCCCTGATGGTGAGGCTGGGTGGTACTGAGGTAGTGCCACCGTGACGAGCTGGTTATGGGGAACATACCACCTGAGTGTACGCAGTGTAGGCTCCGAACTGCACAGCCATCGGACTGAACATTCCCAACTGTCCCGCCACCTGCTGCATCCGACGGAGAGTCCGCTCTTTGTCAGTGTCTGCAAACTTCACCACCAGGCTCGACGACGCCCCCTGTATGGGAAATGCAGAAGTGTGAAAATATTTACCAACAGGACAGTCCATCACTCCTTACGGGGCCCTGTCTGGTCAATGTCAGTCACACTGAACAAGTGAAAACAACAAAACTCAATGGATCCAACCCCTTCCGATTCACTCCCACTGTACACAATCCCAACGGACCCAA